CCCCAAAACCCCAAAACCCCACACTGTTGAAATGATATACATGTTAGAAATAATAGTTTTAAATAAATTAATCATAATAAGAAAATGCAAAAGCATAAGGACCTTATAGAAGAGTAAGATAATCAGCTAGATGAGATAACTAATGTAACATTAATTCAGTCCATTGATACATTTGATTATAGATCGCTAAAAGACTCCATTATCATGCAGAAGATATCAATGTTGAAATAAATAAGCAAACAGGGATGTTGAAAGAGTTAAACAAGGAAATGGATCACACCTAGGATAAAATGAATTATGTCAACAAGAAATTATCACAGCTACTAAAGACCAATGATGCTGGCACTCTATATACAATTATGTGCTTAACTCTAATCCTTTTTATTCTCATTATGCTGGTTATTGTCACATGAAACACCAATTGCCTGATTGATTTGAGAATGATTGATAGTTTATTGTTTATAGTTATAAAGAGAGCAATTAAGTAAAAATTTTAATAACAAACCTTATAATTTTTAAAAATTAACTTTGATTTTATGTAAAGCGCTGATCAAAACAGTGCGGGAGTCCCCGATCTACCACAAATTGATGTTTAAATGAATGAGCCAGCTGTGTTAAAGCAGGAATCTGTACAATAATCTCCCAAAAAAGAGAAGGTTTAAAAGAATGGCTAAGTTAATGAAGGTCAGGATGGCAGTCCAGAAGGTAATAAAAAGGCCAGGAAGCCTAGATAAAGCAAAAAAGAGTAAGCTAGTAAAGATGGGGAAGATAAAGCCGCCATTAAAGAAAAAGAGGAATCAAAAGATCAGAAGGAAAAGCTTAGGAAGAGATAGGTAAAGGAGAAGGAAAAGAAAAAGGAAACTAAATAATAATAGAAGATCGAAGATTCTTTGAAGATTGATCAAATCCAAGTGAAAGTTTGTGAAGAATCCAAAGAGGAGGTAAAAGAAGCATCTCTAAATCAAGAAGATGTTTTAATGGTAGATGTAGCTACAAAACCACCTTAATAAGAAGCAAGCAAGAAGAAAAGCAAGATGGAGAAGAAGAACACTCCAAAGAAGATACCATAGGCAATAGTGTTACCTGAAAAAGTATGATTGACATTTTTTAAGACTCATTCACATTTTAGGTTCTTGAATGGAAGTCTAAACAAGATCAAATCGCCACCATATTGAGAGAACTTTTAAATTAAGCCCTAGAAGAGCGGGAAAAATAGGAAATTAGCGCTCTCTAAGAAGCAAGAGCTTCACAAGAACAGAAAATAGCTACTGATGACTTGATTTAGGTGATCACTGACAAACTGATCAGAATCTCAAATATTGGGTGTTCAGAGTAAGAAAAGAAGGAAATCTTTACTGGCTTGTAATTGGACATTTTGAAGGTAGTTGGTCATCTCATCGATTCAAGGTAGCCATATTTCTAAGTTTATTTTATTTAGTAATTTAAACAGAGCTAAACTTGCTTAGCTATGCAAGTCACATTTGCAGTAGGCATTATTAGAGTAGGATAGAGCACAGCTTCTAGATCTCTTCAATTTCTAAGGCTTTCTTGAAACAGTTGCTGAAAGAAAATATTATGGTATTAAAGATAGAGCAGCATTAATGTATGATGATGAATCACCAGATGCCCTTTGGAATTGGGAGATAATGAATGTTAAAATATTTTAGCTTGAGCAGCAAAAGTCTATTTAGAATAAAAGAAATGAAAAAGCTTAGGTGTCCTTAAAAATTAAACAATTAGACAAAGTGATTGGGATGATTGAGAAAGCCACATTGGAAAAAGATCTACCTAAAATCGAGGAAGAGTACTAAAAATACAAGAAAATTGAGGGGAAAGAATTAGCACTTAAATAATAGTTAGAAGAGAAAAATCATTAAAAACTTTAAAAGGAATAATAGGAAAAGGAGAAATTAGATAAACTCAATAAAGAGAAGGAGTTAAAGGAATAGGAGAGGTAGAAAAAGGAATAGGAACGTCTCAGGCTCATTAAAGAAAAAGAAGAGTAAAAGGAATAGGAAAGACTAGAAAGAGAGGAAAAAGCTAAGTAAAGAGAACTTGAAAGGCTAGATAAAAAGAGAAAATAAGAAGAGGAGCAAAAGGCTTAAGTTTAGAATCCAAACCCTCCAAAGTAACCTAGAACTTTTACATTGATGGATATGATGAAACTTCAATAACCGAAAAAGACTGAAGGGATAAAACAAGAAGAACTATCAAAGATTTCTAGTCAATAAGTAATAGAATAGCTGTGTTCACAAATAAAATAAGAAGTTAAATTATTAGATTATGAGAATTTTAAGCAGAATAATTAAGCTTTAAGACCCCCATAGTTTATAAAGCATGAAGCCTACAGATTATAAAATGACTTTAGATAGAGAAGAGGTATCTCATTCGTAAAAAGAGACTAACCATACCCTTATAAATAAATGATACAGGAAGTAATGATTGAAGAGAAGAAACTTATGGATTCAAATGTCAGAATCGAGCCTAGAAAGAAGTTCATTATTATTGAGGACTCATTTATGAAAATGCTTGGCGGTTTCAATGATAAGGTCAGTAGAATTTTGGATCCAAGAAGGCCTCTATTAAAAGATGAGACTATTATAGATTATGATATGAGCAGCGAGGAAGAATGGAATGAATAAAATGGAGAAGATGTGAATGCCAATGATGGTGAAGACGAAGATGATGAGGTTGAGAAAATTCTAGAGGAAGAAGGAGAGCCAGAAGGTTTCATTGTTGATGATGGTTACTTTTCAGCAAGTGAACTCATGTTTAGTCAGTAGGATGGTAGCTAAGTTCAATTAGCTCTCTAAGAGAAAAGATAATAGTATGCCAATAGATACAATCAAGATAACTAAGACAGAAATAAAAATCATTATAAGATGCTGTGGGATGAGTCTAATAGAGGAGTTATCAATTATCTTAAAGATTTTAGAGCAGTTTCATTCCCAAAAACAAGAGTCTTTCCAATTAAAGTTAAAAATTCCTACGAAGACATGAGGGACAATGAGGGAATGGAGGACAAGGGCAACTCTGCAAACAAATTAAATCCTAAGGCCATCAACCTAAAGCTGAATGAGTTGATTAAAATGATGCATGGATCTTTTGAATCTAAGCAAAAGATCATCGAAGATTTTTAACTCAAAAATCCTGAGTGCAGTAAAAAATCAATTGAAAGAAAAATGAGAGATCTTTTTGAGAAAGATAAGAAAGGATAGGATCCAAGACAAAGATGGTATGCAACAGAAAGTACTCTGATTGAATTTAACTTGCAAGATGATGAAGATTTGAAATTGGTCTTCAATGAGAGATTCAATCAGGTTGTTGAAGAAATCAATAAAGTCAAGCAGGAAAATATTCAAATCAAAGAAGAAAAGAAAAAGGAAAAGTAACAATAAAAGCTTGAGACCCAATTATAGCAATAGCAGCAGTAACTCTAAGCTCATACGACCCCTATTAAATAGCAAACTATTACATTTAAGGATATTGAGAAATTGGATACTAAGTAAAGAGATCTTGGTAAAGAGTTTGAGGCTATTAATCTTGAGTCAATTAACACTGAAAACTAAGATATGACAATGATAGATGCTAATGATGATAAACAGTCTTGCGAGAAAAATGTGAAAGCATTGACATCAGACTTGAAGAATACTAACGAGCTCAAGAAGATGCCACCGATGCAAAGCTTAACAAAGTATTACCAGAAGACTAATCCAGAGGAGAAATAGAAGTTAGTTGAATAAGAACTTAATAAGGCAAAAAGTTAACTGTTAATAAAATAAGATATTGCCCCTCCTAAGGGTCAGTAGATGCTTTCATTTACACAAGCAGCTAATCTTGGAGATAAAAAGGCTTCCACTTTAAAAACTCAGGATATTGGGGGAGATCTCTAATTAAAGGTTAAGAAACATAAGAATAAGAAATCAGAAGTCAAGCCATAATTGAAAGAAGAAGCTAAAGAGACCATATAAAAAGCTGAAAAAAAATAAAAGCCTAACGGTATCAAGAAAGAACTACTTTCAAAAGAATCAAAGGCTAAAGTTGCTAAAAAGGTAGGAAAAGTGTCTAAGAAACAAAAATCATCTGATAAGAATGCGAATGGATCCTAATAAAAAAAGAAAAGATAGAGTAAAAAGAAAAGCAAAGTCATGCCAGAGAATGAAGATTAAAATCTGCCAACATCAGAGGCGATAAATGAGTTGTAATAAATAAGTTAGGAGTAATAGAGGATAGTGAATGAATAGGAGGAAATTGAGTCCTCTTAAAATTCCGAATCCTTGTAATTTTAATGCTCTAATAAAGATCGAGAAGCCTAAAGCATTTCAATGTAAATTGCTTGAATAATGCCAGCTTTATTGCTAAGCCTAATCCACAAAAATGAATAATGCAAACATACTCTAAACAAAACTCTTTCATAGGATATTTAATGAAGTCTGATATGTATTTGCATTTTATAAATCAATAAATAAAATTCATCTTACTTATTAATTTGATAGTAACAATAGGGGTTTTGGGGTTTTGGGGTTTGCATTATTCATTTTTGT